AAAGTTGCGTCAAGTTTTTATGATAATTTCTATTGATAATTTGTCAAGATCCTCAATTTCACAAATTAGTTGTGATAAATATTTGAACTTTAAATAACCGTAAATGAGGGGGGTAATGGGGTATTTTCGTGCTCCGTATTGGGGTAATTTAATTATTCGTTCTTCGTTCAGTCATCTTTTTATTAAACGTTTTTCGATCCCGACATGGATGCCGTGTATCGTGCTTGCGGTGTATTCAATATCCGTTCTCCGTTTTCAGCAGTATTTAAGACGGTTATTTCTCGTTTCTGGACAATATATTCCATTATTAATTTTGTTTCTGGATTTTAGCTATGTTTTGATTGGGGAACGCAGGTTTCAAGTTTTATAAATTACGAACATCGACGCAATTGTAAACAAATATTATTTCTCGTGCTTCAGGATTGGTAGCCCCCATTACCCCCCTCGTAAATCGTGATTAATATTTGTGGAATTATAAAATTTGTTTTTTCCTGACAACAACTATTGACATTTTAAAAATTGTAGTTATAACACTGTTGACAAATTATGTCAAGCATTTTTTAGCATTTTATATCAACGGCCGTGGGCTATTTCCCTTCCATTTTTTATTCATGTTTTAATTAAGTGGCGGGAAAAATTACTCAAAATCCGCCACACTTCCTTTCTTCAGCATTGGACCTTTCCCCTTATAACTAAAATTTTGATCTAAAACAAGTATAGACAAAAATTTCATTACAGCTTGAAAGAGCATCACAAAATTAGTAATATTCCGAAGTTTCGTTGCGAAATGTTGTAAAATGCGGATAATATAGCCCTGCGAAATTTGCAATTTTCAGTCATTTTGTATTACAAACGGGAAATTGATGCCCCAACACCCGATTGGGCTGTCAATTTCCCATGCGTTTTACAAAATGACTGAAAAACGGCAAATTTCTCAAGGCTATATTAGCCGCATTTATTTTTACAACATTTCGCAACGAAACTTTGGAATATTACTAATTTTGTGATGCTCTTTTGTCTAGATCAAAATTTTAGTTATAAGGGGAAAGGTCCATTAAGATTTCGATTGCAACTACCAAATTTCCAATTCGCAAATACCACTGAAAAGGGAATCGCAATTTTCGACCTGTTTATGAGCTTATTCACAGATGTTTAACAAGCCAGGGGAATTTAGGGAAAGAAAGGTGTCCCAAAACGAACTGTTGTCCCTCAACACCAATTGATCAACCAATGAACAATCATGTAACATTTCTACTTCTTTATTCTTCGACAGATAATTTTTTGAAATAATCTTTTCATATGGAACACTGGTTTCCATGCCAAGCACCTAAAGGTCATTCTTTCCAGAATTAATCAGGTAACACATTTTCTATAGTTTGCTGTGTATACATAATATATTGCTACTGTATGACTGTGCTCAATAAAACTCAAAAAGTCAAATAACATTTTACCAACCTACCTCCTTAATGGTAACTAAATCATTTAATAAGATGAACAAAATTTTCTCATAAAAAATTATTTTGTTAGCAATTTAACTTAACGTGATGTTACTCTGAGTGTGCATCCACACCGGGCAAGCTGAAAAGTTTGCCTGACCACGGTGGTAATCGATCCCACGACCTTTGAGATACTTGTCCAATGCTCCACTGTGGTCAGGCAAATGTTTGGGCTTGCCTGGTGTGGATGCACACTCAGAGTAACATCACAAACATTATATATCTGTATTTACCTGAGTAAATAACACCAACACATACGAAAACTAACTGTATTTATATCGGATAGCTCTATCGGTTCTAAACTGTTCTCCATAAAGGTCCAGCACGGATAATTTCTTATTGATCCAGTGTTACTAAGAAGGAAGCCTAAACTAAACTAACTTTATTTATACTGAATTGCTCTATCAGTTCTAAACTGTTCTTCCTAGAGGTCCAGCAAGGATCATCTCTTATTGATCTAGTGTTACTACAGGAGGAAACCTAAACTAAACTAACTTATGCTGAATCGTTCTAACAGAGAGCCCTTTGGTACATCTAATAACTAATGAAAATTCTTACATTTCCGTACGGAGATCAGTGGTGTAACTTTACCTTTTTGACCACTTGCCGGACATGAAAATCAGTTGCCCTGAATAAAATTCACTTGCCATCACACGATGGCCAATGGGGTTACCTAGGTTGGGGGTATAAATTAAGGGGTGAACATGTCGACCCGTTCTCCCACTGCCCTATATGGCTATGTTACACTGCCTCCGATCAAGCTTTGGCCCACGAAAAACATAATTTGAATCAAGTACATGCACTATAAAAAATTTATATCCGACAATGAAAACATAAATTTAAAGATGCCCAGCTTTTTGCGGCAAGGCAACTTGCCCAATCGGGCAAGCAAAACAAAACGTTTACTTGCCCGTCATGGTATTCACTTGCACCGGGCAAGCGGGCCAAGTCTTAAGTTACACCTCTGTAAAAAGTGTCATATCATAGAATACATTGATATCGAAGGAATATGTAACTCAGTTCCGAAATACCACCAACTCGAATCGACTTGACCTCGTAGCTCAGTTGGCAGAGCATTGGACTAGTATCCCAAAGGTCACAGTTCGACTCCCACCGTGGTAAGGCAAACTTTTCAGCTTACCCGGTGTGGATGCATAGGCGTACGGGAGGGTGGGGCTGGGGGGGGGCTGCAGCTCCCCCCCCCCCAATTTTTTGAGAATTTATCCTATTCGGGCAAAAATTGTCTTGTCATTCGGGCAACGACGGTCTGGTGGTTAGACGAATATATTGATCCATAAAGCGGGACAGAAGTATTATTTCAACAAGTTCAACTTTTACAGGTTCAATCATGCACTGTAAATCTGTAATGGCAACGTTTGTGTATATTTATTACTACCATAGATCGCATAGCTGGATTCAAGCATGTTGCGTCAGGTTAACATTTATTAAAGGTCAAGTGCTCCAACTTAATCGAATTTGGTTTTGATTTTTACGCACATACCACAGACGTATAAAATCCCCACAGAAACGGCTAGAACGAAGGAACAATTGCCATTATGGCTACTAATAAAATGTCACTACTGTATTCATGCTAATCATGCCTATATTCAGCAGTTTACCTAGCATAATGTAGGCTATACAACCATTAAACTATATAAGTATATAGTATATAGCTGCACATATTGCGAAGGTGTGGTATAAGTGTGCGTATAGTAACAATCGAATCAGTAATGTTTATCTCCTTTGATAGCATTGGTGCTAAATACAGTCTCTGGCCATGGGCGGCACCGCGGCTATGAACACACCAGTCACTGAAGATAGATACACATTATAATTGACATTGACGTAACTGTACAAATACTGTACAATGACCTAATGTGACTAATTTTAGACTTTTAGATAGACATAAAAGTGCGCGATTTTTTTACAATCATTAAACAATTGTCGATTTTACGACCATTAACTCCACGATCGCTATAGAAACAATCGCCTAGAAGATTACAATGGCATCTCGTAAAAGACAGTACCAACATCGCGTTTGGTGCGAGGAGTGCAACAAGGAAATCGACAGTGATTATAAAGAGGTGCATTCTCATGGTAAAAAAGTAAAATGTCATCCAGTGATGGAATCATCGGATCCATCCCAGTTGAAAATCAATACTTTCTTTGTAAAAAGTAACATGAAAACCAAGGACAATGACCTGCAGTATGACCTAACCCTACTTGGAACTGAATCGAGTGGTAGAAAAGATTCTGCAGTCACGGTGTTTTTTGATGAAGATCTATCTGAGAAAAATGTGAAGGAACCCATGAGCGAAGACCAAACGGAACCAATTACAAAGTTCATTGATGTTGATGAATTAAATTCACTGTCACAGCTCAGAGAAAATAGTGAACAGAATACGGTGACGGATAGTGAAAATGTTACACCATCTTTAGGTCGAAACGCGGACAGGGTTGCCTTCCTCCTCAACTTTAATCTCTTGCTCCTTATCCTCGCCTTTTATCGTGTCCCATAAAATTTCCACCTTTTTTAGTTTCTATATAATCGTAATTTCTCTAGCCGGTTTTTACGTACATGTTCATCACAGGAGTCGGAGTTAAGAAATTAAGAACAACAATTTTTGGAATACTGGTCCTCTCATTATTTAAGCTACACAATGTCTTGCACCAGTACTTGTCCAATTACCCATTTTAAACCAAAAAATGTTGTTACGTTAGTAACTTTCTCTTTCTTTGTGAATCGTAATGCCATATATTAGCTTATAATTGAAATGGCTAGGGACGACACGTTTCTTTTTATATCAATCTTCAAAGGAAAGCCTTTCATTTGTAGTCGTCTTAGATTATATAATTTTATGAGACGTCACGAAATCTATAACGGCATGTCATTCGGGCAAATTCAGCCCAGCCCCCCCCCCCCAAAAAAAAATAATGTGCCCGTACGCCTATGTGTGGATGCACACTCAGAGTAACACCACAAACACCACATTCACTTGAGTACATAACACCAACACACACAAAAAGTATCATACAGGAAAGAATTGCGTTTTGTTGCTAGTAAATGGATAATTATTATCTTCGGTTTCTGTTTGAAAATATGCCACATACACTAGCGATTATTACATGCACTACATCCATATTTATAATTCTGTATCCTATAACTCTTTTGTAATCTTTCAGGCGTCCGATAATGGCGTGTAAAATGGAAGACGACGAGCAAGGTTACGATGTGAATCGTTTCGTTGGCGAAGTGAGAGAAGATCTGCTCTGTTCTGTTTGCCAAGATGTGCCAAAGGACCCAAGAGTTTGCCAGAATGAAGACCACATATTTTGTTTGGCTCATATATCACGACATCTTCATCAAAATTCTCACACATGCCCAGTTTGCAGAGACCCCCTGACTCTAGAAACCCTGAAACGTCCTACAAGAATTTTGAAGAATTATTTAGAAGATCTGAAAATCAAGTGTGACCACCATGATTGTGGCTGTCCTGACGTTGTCCGCCTTGAAGATCTTCAAAGACATGTCGATCAATGTGGATTCGCGCCCGTCATGTGTGGAAATAAAGGATGTGGGACCGAGGTGAATAGACGAGATCAAGAAAACCATGAAAGATATCTCTACCAGTTTAGAATCGCCAAATGTCACGATTGCAGAGATATTAAAGCAAGTCAAGATGAAATGAAAGCAAGTCAAGATGGAATGAAAGCAAGCCAAGATGAAATGAAAGCAAGCCAAGATGAAATTAAGGTAAGACCAGATTTCCTTCGTCTATTTTATTAGGTTTGAATGCCAATCATTGTAATTGTTTTGTAGATATCGTCTCAAACGATCTGTGCCAGTGTTGGTAACGCCTATAACAGATATCGACATACTTTCATAAAGAAATTTTGCAAGATTCCTAATTATATAGTCAACATATATTAACCATAGTTTGCCAGAATGAATACAGTGTGATCTCTGAGATCACATTTTAACACTAATACTGTAATTCAGGAATTCCAAAGTGAAGTGAAAATTGAGATCGAAGAAATAGAAAGAAAACAAGATGAAATTAAGGTAAGACATGATTGTTCAGTTATTATTTGCAGAATTGTATGGCGATCAATATCATTGACACCCTTGCATGAGTTGAACGAAAAGCTCCCTATTTAAGGAGTCGTATCGTGTAAATAAATATCTAACCAATATCTATAATATGTAACTAAAAGTAACGTTAAGTTGTTTTTGAAATGACAACTTTAATGAATTACAAACAGTTTTGTTGTACATAAACAAAATCAATTTAACAACATCTTCGTTTTTAATGTGAAACAATTTCAGGAAATATCCAGAAACTAAAGCATGAAGAATTAAAGGACTTTCAAGCACTTCTTTATAAATTCAAGGACTTTCAAGGCCTTGAATTTTTGTTTTCAAATTCAAAGACTTTCAGGTTTTGTACGAATCCTGGTAGATATCGTCTCGAACGATCTGTGCCACTGTAAATAGCGACGATAATAACACAGCTCCGGATTGAGTGATTTTTGATGCAGTTGTGTCTCTCTCTCAATCAACAGCTATCTTTGTAGATATCGACGTACGTTTAAACCTGGTTCATATATGCTTGCGGCATGCCTGCGACTGTATCATTATGCCTCTACTTGCCGCCGAAATACCGGCAAAGTTGAGCTCAAGTCAACTTTCCCGGCCTACCGCCGATGTAACTGTCGCACTAGGGACAATCGGCGAACAAATAATTTACGTTTTAAAGCTACCCCCGGCGATGTACGTCGCAGGTATATATGTGAAATTTTGAAAGAGAGAAAGAAATTTTGCAAGATTCCTAATTATATAGTCAATATATATTAACCATAGTTTGTCAGAATGAATGTAGTCTGATCTCTGAGATCATTTTAACACTAATACTGTAATTCAGGAATTCCAAAGTGAAGTGAAAATTGAGATGGAAGAAATAGAAAGGAAACAAGATGAAATAAAGGTAAGGCATGATTCTTTAGTTATTCTTTGCAGTGTTTTATAGCCTGTCAATATCATTGACACCATTAAATTCAATGAAAAGCTCCATATAGGTATAGGGAGCTAAAGCATATACTTTAATTTAGGAAAATGTTGGCGAGATCAAGAAATCTCAAGATGTTATAAATGTTAAAGTAAATCAAATGAAGGTAAGACAACATTGTGTTTTTAGGCTTATATATCGAGCAATCAATACAGTCTGTTATATTTATCTGCTTAGCAAAGCTACGAGTGGACCACTTATGACCACAAGTGACAAGGAGCCGTTTTGGGTAAATAAATATGAATTGGAAAATGACGAATCTTCAGTTATAATCCAAATCTCAGTAAACATGGCTTTCCATTTCATGCAGAGAATTATAGCACTTTTTCGCCGTTCACGACAATTCTGCTATTCTGAACCGAGTTTGTCACTCGTGCAAGTCATTCACTCGAGTGGTCGTGGTCACCTCATGATCATGGTCAACGTCACATCTCAGATATCTTAACACTCTACTTTGATTTAGGAAAATGTTGACGAAATGAAGCAATCTCAAAATGTTATAAATGATAAAGTAAATAAAATGAAGGTAAGACAAAATTGTGGCGAGCTTCTTTAGGCTGATGTAGCTACATTTATCTACTTGTCAAACCTTTCATTCCCTAGGCTGTCTTCCAGTCCACTACACACAACGGTTGAGTAGACTGGAACACAGACTACCATTCCCAAGCTAAGCCCACATCTTCATCAATGCACATTTTTATTGATGAATGCACATCAATGCACATGGTGCAAAGTCATTCACTCGTGTGGTCCTGGTCACTCATGATCATGGTCAGCGTCACATCTCAGATATCTTAACACTTCTACTTTAATTTAGGAAAATGTTGACGAGATCAAGCATTCTCAAAATGTTATAAATGTTAAAGTAAATCAAATGAAGGTATGACAACATTGTGTGGAGCTTTTTAAGCTCGTGTATATAGCTACATTTATCTACTTGCCAAACCTTTCATTCCCTAGCCTGTCTTCCAGTCCAACACACACAACGGTTAAATCGACTGGAACACAGACTATAATTCCCTAGCTAAGTCAACATCTTCATCACCGCACATTTTTATTGATGAAGATTCGCTTCATATCCTGGTTTAAGCATTCGAAGCTTCGTCAAACAGAATATGCTCTTTTCCACAAAATAAAACAATTATAAGATTAATTTTTACTTACTGTATTAACCACAGTTTATCATTCGATCTGATCTAAAAATACACCTGAGTGGACCATGGTTTGACGGACGTTTGCTGTAAATAAATGTGAATTTTGAAAATCATCAGCCTTTGATTAAATGTATAATTAAAACCTCAACAAAGATATTATTTTTTATTATACACTTTTTCACATTTTATAATTAATTCTACTATAAGGTCCGAACCGGCTTTTTATCACTCGCCCATGTCATTCGCATTTGTGATCATCTCTGAGATATCTTAAATTAACACTATATATATATGGATACATCTACTTGAAAAGGTGGCAAAGCTTTCAATCTGTATAAACCTTAAGATTTCCATCATTGCACATATGATTTTATTGACGAAGACTTGAGCTTACGGGTTGCAAGCTTGGTAAAAAACTATCAACTTAAAGTTTTTCAGAAAACAGAACAATTATGAGTTACGTATTTTTACTCACTGCGTGAACCATATTTTATCAAAATGTATTATACACTGTCATCTCTGTTCTCTGAGATATCTGACCATTAACAACGCAACCTAGAAATGCAAGTTTTTAATTTTACTATTCAGGATAATGTTGACGGGATGAAGCAAACTCAAGCAGAAATGAAAGCCGAGCAAATGGCGTTTGAAGCCGAGGTAGGAAACCAATTTGAAAGAATGAAAGTAATGTTAAATCAACTGTTGCAAAGAAGAAATACAAACAGCAATGGGGCTCAAGCTTTATATCCTACAGTTCCGGTTAACAACCACGACATTATTATTCTTGGCGGTTGGTATGCCTCAACACGTGAATGTGTATTGAATACAGTAGAAAAAGTCAACATAGTAGAAGGAAAGTCGACTCAGCTCCCAAATCTAAATCACCTTCGAGGAGAATCAGCATCACGTGTTCACAACGGTGACGTCATCATCACTGGCGGTTATGATGGTCAAGCTAGTACAGACAGCATTGAGATTTTAAAGATAAACCAGGATCCTTTGCGATGGATGATATTTGATGGTAAACTGCCGGTCAAGTTATCTGCTCATGACGTTGTAGTTTATCAAGGTAAATTATACGTCATGGGAGGATATAACGGGAATGAAGGCAAAACAACCGATAACATCTACGAACTTTCTATTATCCCGCCTTATACTGCCAAGCTCCTGGCTAGAATGCCTCAGCCAACAAGAAACCACAAAGCAGAGATTGTAAATGGCAAACTATTTATCTTGGGAGGATCGACAACAGGCTATAGTAAAGACAACATTGATAGCGTTGTCGTGTATGATTTCATCAAGAATGAGGTCAAACCATGTCTATCGTTACCCAAGCCTGTCAAGGGAATGTCCACAGTTACTTGGGGTAATATCATTATATTTATTGGCGGTAAGGATAAGAATGACCAGGTCTTAAATGAAGTCACCATGTACGACACTGAATCAGGACAAAGTCAGAAGTTGCCTCCACTGATACACAAGAGGTTCGGTTCCTCAGCAGTAATTATGGATGACGTCATTATTGTATTGGGAGGATGGAATAAGGAGGAGGGACATCTCAATTCAGTAGAAAGTTTCACAATGGGTGGTGATCATTGGAGAGAACTGCCAGGGATGAAGGAAAAAAGATGTGGCGCAACTGCTGTAGTAAAACCTCGCAACTGAAAAGCTCTCCAATATAACCTTCTTAGGCCCGTTTCAGACGGCGTACTTCTCATGTGCCGAACTTAATTGATGAATTAGGTACGGCAGAAGAGCGACGTATGAATCAATTAAGTACGGCAGAATATGGAGCGGCAAAAGTTCGACACAAGTTCGGCAGAGCTTGTCGCATTATGCGACGTTGGAGCGACATTGATTCATACGCCGCTCCACTCATGTGCCAAACTTAATTCAACTTTGGTCTAAAAATAAACTTATTTATTTTGAATTTTATTGAGGTTTAATTTCGCTGGCGAATGCGCCCCGACCTTGTCAATAACATTGTATTTGGTACGCCGTTTGAATCACTGCCGCTCTTGTGTCGCATCTAATACAATTAAGTTCGGCACATGAAGAGTACGCCGTCTGAAACGGGCCTTGTTCGCCTTTGCATGAATATCATAATTGATCCAATAAACGCCCACTCTCTAATAAATGCCTTCTATCTAATAGACGCCGCAGTCAACCCTGACTTTGTTAAAATAGACGCGTCTCTCTTTAAGAAGCCTCTCATGTGATAAATTGATCAAACATTTATTCGATTGAACGCTTATTAAATTATTAATGTTGGGTATATAGGTATAATGAAATGTAAGAGCTATGAAAGTTGAAGATTTTGACTTTCGTTCATTCTGCAAACTCTTGGAAAGTGTTATTTAAGAAACCTAGATATGCCGTATGTAAGAATAAATGCCCCTTTCTAATAGACGCCTCTATCTAATAAACGCCCCCTTCACGATAGGAAAATTTAATCAACGCTCAGGACGTTTGTTGGATCATTTGCGGTACTTTGTGCCATGAGGGTTGATCATCAGATTTGTAATCTCATGTCGTGTAGATACTAAATATGCACACAAAAGAAAATGAATAACATTGACTGAAACCTGATCATAAAACACCGGCCCTGAGTTCTAACCCTTCAACGTTGGTTACGGTTCAGGTTGTTTAATGCTCAGGCTTCAGTCAATGTTATTTATTTCCCTTTCATTTGCATATTTAGTATCTACACGACATGAAATTATAACCATCATCAATGACCTGCACTTGGGTTAACTCGCTGATCTCAAACCTAACACTGGATAGTGCATCCTCTATGCAGAAATGAAGGCAATGTCGGCCATATTGATGTGAGCAGCACAAATCTACTGTGGTGTTGATGACATAGTGTAGGAGGTTCTTACAGTTTCTAGTTATCGCTGAGAAAGGATAAACATTGTCTGAATATAAATTTATCAACACTGGCCTCTCTTCCCCCTTAAATTTGCTCGTGAATAACTGATGTCACACCAAGATGGCTGCCACAAGTCTCATTATCTAGTGTTTAAAACGTTCTAAAACTCATTAGAAGAAATATGGAAAGCTATATTTTTTAAGTTACATAGGAAAACACATTTGCTTCATAATGCACTAATTTAAACACGTCGTGATACGATTTGCAGAGATTTTGACAGACTTTAAGATCTCCATTGATTATAAATATTCTGACTTCAAAATTGGTTTATTGAATACAAAAGGAAACACTATCCAGTGTTTACAGATCAGTGGGTTAACTTTACTGTGAAGCGTATTGTGTTTCCACTTTATATATAACTTGTATAATTTCCATGTAAATATTCTATGTATAAATTACTTTCCCTATAACTAGCATTTGCTCAAACAAAGATTTTCATCAATTTAATCATGTAAAAGTTTTAGATATAACCCATATAATCTCGGTGTAAATATTGAATATCTATGTAGTTTCGTTGAAAAAATGCTAATTAGCCTGTTCGCAGGCTACATGCTAATATACCTTTTGTTGAACAAAAACATTTTAATCTGAACATTGACATTAGTAATAAGTAGAATATTGAATTGATTTGAAATAAGTATATATAAATATAGTCATAATAAAGATTAATTTTTTGTTGCGCTGAGTGGTTATATTACTACCTTAAAAAAAACAAGCAGAAACTCGACGTTTCGAGCGAATGCCCTTCGTCAAGAGTTAGTAGCACAGCATTTTCACATTGGTACTACCCACACTGGTACAGACACTTTTTGTTGTGTCACCCCCCCCCGCCCCCCTGAATATTAGCGCATATTATTCTGTCTTGTTTTTATTTGTTTGTTAATTTTAATTTTTTCAGTTTGCTATTTTAAAATGACATTTAACAGTAGAGTTAGTTCTACCATTGACCTCTGGCAAAACAGATTAATTCCGTTGCGAAGACAGAGAACAGTTTTCCAAGACAACAAACCTAATTTCTCACTTCCCTTTCAACGACCACTTTTTTACAAATGAAGGTTACATGAGATCCTAGGCACGCGTTTCGGGAGATCTACCATTTCTCGGCGAATTTTTATCCAATTTCTATCACATTTTTGCCGAGATAGATGTAGAATAACATAGTGTTATAAAATAGACGAGAAAAAAAATTTCCCCGATATTGCTACAAGTTTAAGTTTGTGGTACCTTCGTGATCACGATCTACGTTAAACGCCAGTTTCACTAAAAACCTGTCAAACTATCATTTTTACTTTTCCCGAGGATTGTTCTAAAAAAGTGTGTTCGCTTTTTCTTCTTGCGTTAGGGGTAACTTAGTTAAAACATTCAGTCTTTTCCGACTTGTGTTATAATGCACAACAGCCAACAGGCTTGTAACTTTGCAACTAAGGGACCGTAAAGCTCGCGCGAACACACTTTCGCAGCCAAAACATACATCTACAATCTGGTAAAAATGGTAAGACTGTCAAGTTGGTAAACTGTGCATGTGTTTATTGAGTATGTTCCTCCGCAACATTTGTTCCATGGAAATTTGTTCCGGGGTACCTTTCTTCGGTGTTTTGGGGTATTTTCCCCAGGAATGTTTCCCCCGATGTCTGTCTTTCTTTCACTGACTTTATGTCAAGTGTTTGTTTAAATCACGGAAGGCGGTAAATCATTCGCAGTTAAAAGAGTTCCAGCTTGAAACTCATTTCCCATGAAGACAGATGCATGACAGAGATGTTTTTTTTAGTAAAACCCAACCATACCCTTACCATAACCCAAATCCTAACCTTTTGTAAAACCACAACCCTAATCCTTATTGTAATTCTGATCCTTCGCACGTCATAGTGGAATAATCCTTGTGACGTTGCACGATTTCTCCGTATACTATTACATGGAAATATCGCTTCCACGAATGATGTAATATATCTGAGTACAAGAAATGCTAAATTTTGAACTTTTCAAGCTATATATACGCATTAAAATGATCAAGATGTAATTTCTATATTCATAATAATAACAAACGATGTGCAGAATTGTTATTTCTGTGAAATATTTCAACATATTTTGAGAATTGTGGAATTGCTAGACAGGAAGTCAGAAAGCCACTTGAGATCTCAGCTTGATCACGAGATGTTTTGTAATATATTCAGATAGAAAGGCATTGTTTTACAGAAAGAACGACCTTATCTACAGTAAAACGTTGTTGCTGTGAAAATTTCTGGTAAGTTTGTTCATATTTGTACATTACATTCACATGAGAGCTGACGAGATCGCAACTGGACACAAATTAGTCGAGTTTCATCTATTCACACCGGAATTCTTGCGGTTATCTGAGCTCGAATTGTCCACCTTCGTGGATCGCGTGTTAACGCAAAGCAAGAAAGTCCAAACTTGAGCATTGAAGGTAGTCTCAGACCATATTCAAGTTTTCATGATTTCTCATGGATGTTCTCCTAGGACGTATCAAACCAGACGAACTAGACCACAGCTCTCCGTACGAATTCTCGTGTGAACACATGAAAGCGAACTAATGCGATGTACGGTTCTGACTTCATCAGATTTCGTACGATCGGAGTCTCAATGTACGAATTTTTTAATTGTAAGTCCTTTCAGTTAGATGCAAGAGCCCCTAGCGAGTTGCTTCGTGCGAGGACTAGTATAGGACGTGCGAAGACCAAGCTTTATAGAATAAAATATAAATGCGAGAATATTGTGAAATATTTGGCAAACAACACGAGTACATGTTGCACTTTGAGTAAACGCTCATATAAAGCTATAATTCATGTTTGGTGTTTAAATAAAGGAAAGGAAATGTTGCCTTATTCGATCTCGCAATACATTAGATCCATATTTTGGTTACAGACCTGCCAACTCTCCCGACACAGCCGGTAGTCTCACGGTATAGACCTGTGATTTTCCGGTAGTAAAAAATTTCTCCCGGTATTGGCAACTGGCAATTATCCTAACTTCTTGTAGATCTTATTGAATTTTATCGAGAAATATCTACGCGTTGGCTGCGTAGGAGACAAGTAAAACTTTAAAAGGGAAAAAATAAAAATGTGTGATCAACTTTAAATTCTCCCTACACCCCAAAATTAACATTCAGCATTCTCGGGAGATGGCGGCTTTTTGTGCTGCGAGTGTAGTAGCTAGCAGGGGTTTCAGAATAAGCCGGCGGCCGGCGGAGTTCCGCCGGCTACTTGAACTTTTACCGCCGGCTACTTTTCGTCTGGTCACAGGAAAAATTTTATATACAAAAGTACAAGCGAACCAACACGATGTTTGTTATGTTCCAATTGGAATTCAAGTTGGCCTCGAATTTCCCTGAAATCAATTGACGGCAATGGCGTTAAAAATTGCCGTAGAACGTAACAATTGTCTACGGCAATTTTGTCAGTTTCCACGGCATTTCTTTTTTCAAATTGCTGTAATAAAAATTTAATTTTATTGTTACAGACTTTGGATTACTGACAAGCTAGAAACATGTTTACGTATTTCTTTAGTGTTTTTTTTTTCGAAGAAAACTGAGACTAAAATAGTAATTTATGGATGATTTGATCAACATCTGAATTCAAGTATCAAAATAGTAACGCACAGTGAACATGAGTTTAAAAATTATA